CCCAGAGGAAATAAAAGAGTAGTGAAGGAGGAATGGGGTTTGCAGGAGACAATTAGTTCGCTTAATTGGTTCGTGACTGTCTGAGACTCCTTGCCAAGTAAAGTCTGTGACTGTAAATCCTCCCTTGAAAGACTTTGCTGGATGTGAATGAGCAGAATTCACAGTCAATTAATAAAAGGGTTTTTTGTTGGGACCAGGAGTTTGCTTCGTGCTCTTGGGAAGCCTTGGTCAGGACAGATAGAGTGGACACCAAAATTGAAGGAATCAACACATTATCTTCTTAAATGCATAATGAGAACACCATCCATCAGTGACCTGGAGCAGATATAATAGAGGCAGGATAAGGATCAACAATAAAGGCAGTAAATATCATTACACCATAATTTTCTCCCTACTCAAGGTTGGCTAGCTACTTAACTCAGCCATGGGAAAAGACAATAACTGCCATGTACAAAGTGAGTGTTTCTTTCATCCCTGAGTGACAATTATCTTCTGTCTAGGGAAATATGAAAAGGCAGGAGATCTAATCATCAGATAGTTAAACTTTCTAAATCCCTTTACATAGAAATCAGATACTGTTCTTGGTTCCTAGGTAATGTTCTAGGGGACAATTGGAAAATGTCAGGCTATTTTTGATTAAATTATCTGTAAGTCATCGTTTGGCAGCAAAATCCTTGAATAATATTAATTTCAGTTTTATTTTGGCTTTCTTAAATCTTATTTGAGGGATTACCACCTATTCTTCCTCCTCCTCCTCTCTCATGTGCGATTATTTTGTATTGTTGCTGTTGTAATAGCCAGAAAAAAAATTGATGGAACAATTTAGTTGTGCAGGATGAAATGAGCCTGAGTTAATCATTTTTCCACTGGAATTTTCTTGCTGTAGGATTTGCAGTCTGTATCTTCATCAACACAAAGAGTCCACTACCAGGTAAAATTTATTTTGTTCCTTTTAGGGAAAAAAAGAAAGGGAGGGAGGGAAGACTTGTTCAGCCTGAATTACTTATGGACTTATTTGTTCAGATATTCTGAATAATATTCTTTTCCCTTGAAGGCCATACAAACAACAATATAATATAATCAGGGTACATACAAATGACAATGTACATACAGACAACAAATGTACATACAAAAGAGGTAATATAATCATAAAATATCAAAAGAAGAAGGTAGTAGAAACGCTGAGACTAATAATAATAATATAGCCATACTACATAGATAAATATCCTTGGACATAAGACAGTATTATGGTAGTTAGGTGTTCAGCAAAGCAATGGCACAAGGGAAAAAAAACATTGTCTCTGTGTCTGGTTGTTTTGGCATGCAATGCCCTATAGTGGCATCCTGAGGGGAGAAGTTGAAACAGATGATGTCCAGGATATGAGGCCTCTCTAGATATTTTCTCAGCCCTCTTTCTGTCTCATGAGATATACAGGTCCTCAATGGAAGGCAGGATAGTTGGAATTGGTATAGAGCTTCCTACCTGAGCAGGGGGTTGGACTAGAAGACCTCTAAGGTCCCTTCCAACTCTTGTTATACTGTTATTCTGGAACTGTTCTTTCTGTAGTCCTAACTCTCCATTGGAGCCTGTCCTATTTATTTGCTGTACCAAACCAGACAGTTATAGAAGTACAAATGACAGACTCAATAATTCCTCTGTAGAGCTGCATCAACAGCTCCTGGGACAGTCTGAACTTTCTGAGTATCGCAGTTGCCACAGCAATCCTGGATATCTTTGCTGAATTGTTTATTATTTTTCCATGTTGCAATAATCCATGTGTATGTGAGTGACCATGAACAGAGTCTCCTGGTCCAGGGATGGCATAGTTGGTGGAAAAGACACCAGTGTGTAAAAGTTTGAGTTGGCATTTGAATCAGATTTTGTCTGATTCTCATAGGCTTAATTCTTGCTATATGCAACTTATTGCCTTCCAGTGGCTCCTTCTCTCCATTTTTAATCAGGCTCAATCTCTATGGTCAAACTTTAGGCATGATGGCAGCTATATAATCCAATGGAGACCTTCAGCTTTGCCTCTTTGCCCATTCTATCCCTGCATAGATACGCAAAAGGGAAAAATAAAGTCCAGCATCTTAGAAAGATATGTTGTAATGACAGGATCTATGCATTCTTTTCAATTTTCAGAATGGGGAGCCTCATGGGGAGAAGTTCATGTTATCTCAATATACACAGGCATTCTTGATGCCTCTCCTTCAAAATATATGACCCAGCTTTTGCCCTATTCACCAAAATTGTTTCTTCTGATTTCTTAAAAACTGTAACATCACATTCTCAAGTGATGAAGACTCTTGGTCTTGGAGAAGGATGCTATTATGAATGGGGAATTATTTTGTCAAGTTTGTGACTAAGCACAATGCAAAGAAATACCAAATGTTTGTTGTATAACATTTCCAGATCAGTGCTTATGATGCCCTACAGTATTTTTAGTTTGCATTCACAATTTAAATGATTTTTTTTGAACATTGTCTGCACAGCAGGCATGTTAAATATTATCTCAACTAATGCTCTGAGTTGCATTTTTATTTGATTTGGCCTAAAGGGCCGTTCTCTTATTATCTCTTCATGAACTTTCTGTCTGTATCATGCTCTGCTGTGCATTTTCAAATATACATACATTCACTCCTGCAAGAGAATCTGAGACAGTCTAACAAAGAAGAGAGCCCCCGTGTTCTTATAAATAGTCTCTTTTTCCTTACTTTAGTCAAACGTATTCAATGAAATAAGAACTCCTGTTGTGAATGTCAGCCATCTCCAGTCTTTTTATAGCTGTATGCCCTCCAAAAAATCAATAATATCTGCAATTGTTCAGCATCTCACTTGAGCATTTTTAGTCTACAAAATAAATGTGTCAAAATTTTATAACAATGTGCTGCAATATGATCCTTTCCAGATGTGCTTGGGCAGCAACTCTCAGGATTCACACCCCAGATGTCTACACATCTGAACACAGCAAATACTAACTTGGGGAATACTGGTTGATAATGCGGTTTTGATTAGGCAGTCTTGGTTCATCCATCTTGTTTCATAGACAAAGAAACTTGGCATATCTCTATTGAGCATTCTTGGTGAATTGCTAAGCTACCTCACATGTAACCTGCATCTGTATAGTCAGCTTCTTCCCTGTCTCCTTGTCCCACCTGAAATCCTACTTCAGTCACGCCTCACTATACATCTGCAGCTTACAAAAGCTTATGCCTTTTAGCCAAATTCATTAGCTGAAAAAGATACTACCAGGCTTCTTCTGATTGTCTTTGTTGTCATAGAATAGAATAGAATAGAATAGAATAGAGTAGAGTAGAGTAGAGTAGAGTAGGGTAGGGTAGGGTAGGGTAGAGTAGAAACTTTATTGTAACTTTAAATCAGTGGTGGGATTCAACCAGTTCACACCTATTCTGGAGAACCGGTTGTTAACTTTCTAAGCAGTTCGGAGAACCGGTTGTTGGAAGAAATCTCATTTTGGCTTTTTTCCACTTTACAGGGCTAATCCTGTAAGGAAGGCAGGAAGGAAACATTCTGGTGTTGTTTCTAGCCTAATCTTTATTGCCCTGCTTACAGAAACTGCGTCTCCAGTTAACCCTTGTTACATTGTAACAGTTAAGGTGAAGTGCCCCTCAACATGAATGACATTGAGTTGGCCAAGATCCCATGGTCACATGACTAATGAGTCACTCCTACCCAGCTGGTCATTAAGGGCAGAGAACCGGTTGTTAAATTATTTGAATCCCACCACTGCTTTAAATGTACACTAATCAGCAAAGATTGAAGGCAAATGAGGTCCAGGCAGAAGAAGAACACCATGGTTTCAAAATCTAAGGGACTGGTTTGGATAAAACTCAGCAGCACTTTTTCATGTAGCTGTTGATAAAAATAGGATTGTCAACTTGATCGCCAACGTTCAGTGACGGATATGGCACAAGAAGAAGAATCAGCATACATTAAAATGAAATATCTGCATTCATCTCTCAAAGGATAACCATTATGTATATACCCACAGACACACCCACATATGGCATAGAGAAACATCACCGTTCTAATGATGTTTGACTAATATGCCTCTACTATAATGAATGTCTTTACTAGATCTGCAAGAAGGCCCTTTGCCCTTTTGCATGCAATTCACATTTTTGACTTTTCATTTGGGATGAAAGTTATTTTTACGCTTCACTGTTTTGTTTGGATTTCAAAGATAAGGATGTTTCTCTGAAATTCCTTGCCCCTAGGTGTCTTGCTAAGGTTAATCTCAGGGAAGGAAAGTGTTAAGATGTCTGAAAACTCAGTATGAAAGGAGGCTCTGAAAGAATTGGATATATTTAGTTTTCAGAAAAGACAGTTGAGAAGGGATGTGATGGCATTTTCACATTTCTAAGGAGGATCACCTCTTTCCTTTCATCCTAGACTGGAGGACACAGGAGGATTCTACTAGTGTCAGCCCTGGAGCCATTTTCCTTGGCATCTTCAGGGCTGCCACAGTGGTGGCTGGGCAAGCTGCGGGAACAGGAGGGGGGAGGTAGAGCTAGCGTGAGTTTTGTAACCATAATAAATTTCTTTCCCCTGGGAACCAAGGATGTTCTCACCCGTGCTGGGGAGGTGTGGATGGAGACCAACTGGAGTTGGGACAGTGACCAGATTGGACCATGTAACAGACATATGGACTGGGGGGGAGGGGATAATTTTGATTTTAATGTGGGTGGGGAAAACACGGGACTATTAGAATAGAGCTTTCCCCAGATTTGCCAATTTGACATGCCTAATAAATCTATACTTTGAGGAACATGCCCGCCTTGGAGTTTTGATTCTGTTAAGGGTATTACTTGGAATCCCTGACAACTGGAATATTAAGAGAAGTTTTATATTAAGGCAGAGAGGTTTGTTGGTTACACTAATTACCAAAATGGATATGACCTCTATTTCACTGTGCAGGTAGTCCTCGACTTACAACAGTTTGTTTAGCGACCATTCAATAGCAATAGCAATAGCAGTTAGACTTATATACCACTTCATAGGGCTTTCAGCCCTCTCTAAGTGGTTTACAGAGTCAGCATATTGCCCCCAGCAATCCGGGTCCTCATTTTACCCACCTCGGAAGGATGGAAGGCTGAGTCAACCTTGAGCCGATGAGATTTGAACAGCCGAACTGCAGAGCTGCAGTCAGCTGAAGTAGCCTGCAGTGCTGCATTTAACCACTGTGCCACCTCGGCTCATTCAAAGTTACAACGGCATTGTAAAAATGACTTATGACCATGTTTCACACTTACGACTTTTCCAGCATCCCCCTGATCATGTGATCAAAATTCAGATGCTTGGCAACTGATTCAATCTATGGCCGTTGCTGTGTCCCAAGATCATGTGATCATCACCTTTTGTGACATTATGACAAGCAAAGTCAATGGGAAAGCCAGTTTCACTTAACAACCGGGTTACTAACTTATCAACTTTAGTGATTCACTTAACAACCAAGGCAAAAAAGATCATAAAATGGGGCAAAATTCACTTAACAAACATCTCACTTAAGAACAGAAATTATGTTGGGCTTAATTATGTTTGTAAATTGAGGATTACATATATATTTTCAAGCAATGGCTGGGCGGCCATCTTTAAATGTTTTAATTTGGATTCTTCCACCCAGCAGGGGTTAAATCTGATTGCCTACCTGTCCCCCCTGCAATTCTATGATTTCACATCTTTGGTAGATTCTGTATGGGAAGGGAATATAGAATTTTGCAATAGGAATAGTTCCTATCAAAGCAACATAAATACTTCTTTTGGGGGTGGTGGTGGTGGTTATGAAACTATAGTATCTTTAAATCTCTGTAATTGGTATCTGAGGCATAATTTACATTCTATCAGGTGTAATAAAGGGAAAGCTATTGGATAACATGAATCAAGCTCAGGGGTAGAAGCTAAGAAAAGGAAAACTGTTAAAGTCCCCCATGCCAAGCTAATGAGTATCACCCTGCTTATCTGAAATTTGAGATGAAGAATTGAAGCTAAGGAACATCTAACTCACGTCATAGGTTGGCTCTGAAACTGACTGAAGAAAGAAAAATATTGGTTTGCTGTATATCAAGAATGCCAGGCTGTGCCAGGGACATAGTCATTTAAGGAGCCTTATCACAGTCCATATGGCATTTGCTATTCAGTTGCATATTTCTGGCCATGGTCCTTTCTGCCCATCCAACTTGCTGCTATTAACTGAGTCGGAATTTATAATGAACTGCAAGCCGTATGTCAGATAATGCTCTCTCTTTTGTATAGGTTTCTCAGTGCCGTTTCTAGATATTAAAATGAAACATTTATACAGTGTTATCCTAAGAATATGTGATGGAATGATTGAAAATAAGGATTTTTAAAAGGACTAATTGGCCATAAAGTGACATTTCTTAGCTCTTCTGCTGTTGTTCTCTTGGGAATTCATAGTGATATCAGTCACAGTATTTCTCTCCCCCCCCCACACTTTAAATGAACCTTTTTCAAAAAGGGAGGGAAGGTTTGCTAATACTTGCTTAGCAATATGGCAAACACAGTAGGCTGCCCAAGTAACCAAGTGGGCATCTATCATGGCATGGCATGTTTGATACATTTCCACACTTTGATAAAACTGAGTATAGTTGCATAGTCGAATCAAATGGGAAATTAAATCAACACTTGGATAAGTCAGTGATTGCACAGGGCAGCTGGTCAGAAGGCATGCTGAGTGAATTCACGGATGACTGTCTATCATTTTTGGTCACCCTTGACTGAATATATATATATTTATTTATCAGCCCAAATGCAACACACACACACACACACACATGTCTGTGTGTGTGTGTCTGTGTGTGTGTGTTGCATTTGGGCTGATAAATAAATATATATATATATTCAGTCAAGGGTGACCAAAAATGATAGACAGTCATCCGTGAATTCACTCAGCATGCCTTCTGACCAGCTGCCCTGTGCAATCACTGACTTATCCAAGTGTTGATTTAATTTCCCATTTGATTCGACTATGCAACTATACTCAGTTTTATCAAAGTGTGGAAA